ATGCCTCGGCTTTCATGTCCAGTGAGCGATGGCTACCCAATCGGGTACAAGCAGATGCATAAAGACTTGATAGTCATGAGTTCATGAGTGCTTGCATTTTCAGGACACTCTCTCTCTCTCTCTCTCTCAGTGCATGCTGAGCATTACTGTTGCTATCTGTTTCTCTCTCTCCGTCAGGTTTGCACCCAAGTGGGAATATAGCAATCCTTGCAATGTCGGAAACAGATTCGACACCGGACCCCGCCTTCCTCTCCGAGTCGGACGTCGAGCATGTTTCTTTCCACAGTTCTCTTCGTACACCGGAGGAAACAGACAGTCTCCTTCGTACACCAGAGGAGACTCTCCTCAAACAGTTTACAGGGACAGGACAGTGATACAATGCACCATGACGTGGCATCATCGGACACCAACTACGAGCAGGCTCATCCGAATGACAGGAATCTCGTGAGTTCTGCCCACACCTTGGCATCGTCCAGATCGTCTGGTGAGTCAGCAGCTTCGCTTCGATCATCGCATCAGGTCTCACATCCGACAGCACAGTTTTGCCAGGACTTCATAGCCCAGTCATGCCAGGACCACCAGGGACCCGTCACGAAGAAGCGCCGATTTCCTAGGTTAGGTCAGAACTTGGATGGATCCAGAAAGTTTCGACTCATAGTGAAATCTTGCCGCAAGAAGGTGTTTCTCCGTCGGTTGCATGCCGCTGAGGACCTTGACGACGATTTCCTACATTCCAAATAGAGCCAAGCTTATTCTAGATTTCTTGAAGAGTCATGGTGATAGGATGGTCAAGGAGAGACATGGTCCGAAGCCACTCTTTCCGAACACACTTGCCCTTGTGCAACATGTACTTCAATCATCGGAGGCCCGACCTCGCCAAGTAGAATAACTGCATAATTGACGATTTGCAGTCTTTCTTGCTGCGGAGTGCAGACGTCGGCGTTGCCTCAATAACTTTCAGGACTTGAGCTGCAGACTCAGAGTTTTCCCCCCTGCGTACAGGGGTGTGTGTGTTTGCACACCCTGATTCCAAGCTAAGGGAATGGAAGGACTGCAAATTTCACTTTCTAGGTGCAGGGGGCAGCATGGAGTCCACAGTTCTGCTGCCAACGAAGACGGCTGTGGATACTCCGTGGAGCAATCTGGGACGCCAGATTGTGTACTTGCAATGTACAGAGTGAAGCCGATGTCAGTTCTGAGGTCGTTTGAGATGCATGTGGTAGCATGTGAGCTTGATTTACATGTTGACAGTCAATATCTGGATCATCCTCATCTCCTTCAAGATCTTCCTCAGAAATACATACAACTGAACTTGTCAACTGTGTTGACAACTTTCTTCCGTGTGTGTCTGTGAGAGAGAGCGGGGCCTTAGTGTTCGTTACGCCCACATCGAATGCTAGTATGACTTGAGAAAGACTTAGGGCAGAAGAGCAGGTTGAAATCGTAGGTTCTCACTGGATATGAAAAGTCGGTCGGTGAGGGCTGCTGTCGCTAATTTCTGGGACTGGTGAATCAGTTGCTGTTGGCCCTACTGTACCTGCTCTCCCCAGAGAAGAAAACGGGGATTGTAGGAACAAGCACACTCGTCGCCAACGCTTGGTCAGGCTCCGTGTCAAGATCGTGTGTTCAACCTTTGTTCGGCTCTGGGTTCACATGCAGACCGTCTTAATTCAACTGTCAGCTGAATGCCATAATGATTTTGTAGAGATGTCGCAGTGAAGTCGAGATTCTCTTGGTTGTCAGGTGCTGGCAGTGGAGCGTAAGGGCGCTGTTGTTGCAGCTCAGGCCAGTTAGGTTTGGACTTACTTGAACTCTGTTCGGTTCTGGGTGCGAGGCGAAATGTTCAGGGCACCCAGTGATGCACAGATCGTGGTCTGCACCAGGAGGTGGGTGCCAGAGCCCATGAAGGTGGCTCCAGCGACAATGCATCCGTCTTTGTGACCCGGTAGCAGCATGGTGAGGCTGTTCGTTGTACACATCACTCGGTGTGCATTAACTCGTAAACCTCGCGCGCTGTTGCTGCTTGTGTTTGGGCATGGGCACACCAGCGTTTTTGGCGGCTCCGAGCTTTCTTTTGGTCAGGTCAAACTTGCATGTGAGTCCTGCGCAGGTGATGCGATTCGGGTGGGCTGCTCCTCCCTCCCAAGTCGCTTGAGCCAGGAAAAAGGAGCGAGCCGCGGAAATGTCAGGGCGCTCGGAGATCGTGTTGGAGGAGGTATAAGGTACATATCTGGGAATCCTTCCATCCTGATGCAGTTGGCGGATGTTGGCGGGTTTTCAAAGGTCTGGCAGTCTATCATCGACAGCGGAGCAGCGGCCACCAGCCATCCTTTTCCTGTCTGTAACTGTGCACATCATCAAGACCCAGCCGAAACGGTCCTCGACCCGTAGCCCCAACCAACAATTTCAAGTTGGTACAGGGGAATTAGTATCTCAACAGGTGAGTAGATGTAGATGAATGAGAGCTATGAGAATCCAGCATCTCATGCTACCGGTGCTGTACGTATGTTAGCATGCGTGCATGCAGCCCTCTCTTCGAATGTTCGACGGAAGAGAATTTTGGAGAGTGGGTAGTGTTGCCCACACCCAAGACATTGCCAGGTGGTCTGAGAACAAAGTCCACCGGTGCATCGCTGCACCCTGGTGGGATCACACCATCAAAAGCCATACTTACTGGCACACAGTGTCTATCATGGCCGAAAGAACGGTCAAGGATCATGGTTCACTCAAGAGCTTTAATCGAAGCGTTAGAATCGTGAGAACTTCTAGTGCCAGCTGAATGCAGAAACTACGTCTTGACACTTGTTGGGCTACTGCTGCTGCAGCAGTCAGCGGCTCGAACTCCGACTGACCAGCTGCATCGGTAGCAATCCAACCCTGCATGTATTTCGGGTAGCCATGTTCGATTGTTGCAACCCTGTGCTGCAGACACCACCTTTCGCTGCTGTACCTCGCAGAGCCATCATGCTAAACTGTGGAGTTCTTTGTTGTGATGTGCATCACACCCTTGGTCATTTGATCCGATTTGCGCTATGAGAGTGAAAGGGGGGAGAAAAGCTTTCAGCAAGAACAGGTACAAAGCTTGGACATCACTCGGCTCGGGGGGTCTGATGGATGCGCCTCTTCCGGCGCTCCTGGCTAAGGCGCAGGCCCGGACGGGCGCTTTGGTCGAGTGGTTTTCCACCAAACAGTGGAACCACCACGTAACCTAGCCCAGCCCTTCCTTGCAGATCTTAAAGTAGCACACGCTTTGGAGCAACCCACGCTGGAAGAATTCTTAGTGCAAGGTCTCGTGCTGTAGAGGTCCCCTTCGTCTGCATTTGTGCGTCTTCCCTGTGTTGGGTGTTCAGCGGATCCCGGCAAGCGAGAGAAAGCGGGTAGTAGGAGGAGAAGGAGGAGAAGCAGGAGAAGGAGGAGAAGGAGGAGAAGGAGGAGAAGGAGGAGAAGGAGGAGAAGGAGGAAGAGGCGGAAGAGGAGGACAAGGGGGAGTAAGGCAAGGGGAGTAGAAGGAGTGGAGGAGACGGAGGAGGAGTAGGCGAGCGGGAGTGCATGAGTAGGAGGTGGAGGAAGAGGAGAAGGAAGAGGAGGTCTAGAGTCTAGGGTAGGAGCATGACTGCAGAGCACGAGCAGGCGTAATAAAGAGGAGCTGACATGGGATTTTCTGGCAGGCTGGGGATACCAAGCATCCCTCTCTGATGACTACATGTTTTGAACATGCATGAAAGATGTCACGTCTAGGACTGCATCACAAGTTTCTACTGAACCGTGCTCCAACCGCACAAGCACTCCTCCTTGGTCTGCGCCTGTCTGGTGCCAATCCACAAAGCTGCAGAGTTGGGAATGAGCTTGGGAGCATGCAGGAAACCGATGGCGGCGATGCACTGCCCTTCTGCGTCCGTGACTATTCAAGTCATGGCGTGCAGCCACTCTGTTCGCTCATCCAGTTGGGCCCAGGATCGGGCCGAAATCCATTGTCAACGGAATCCATTTGCTTGCTTGCTGTCCTCGTAGACACTCCTTTCCGTCTTGCTTGGGAGTTCATGCCCCTCCGCGTGCTCGGGAGCTCCATCCCAAGACAGTGCACCTCGAAGAGCTCGCAGTCCGACCGGGAGTACCTTCAGCATATGAACATTAAGCCTTCGTGGTCCCACAGGCCTCGACAAAGGTTCTCGAGCTCTTGATGGTGTGGACCGACATGCGCACGGTTATTTTCGATCTTATGGCTCCTCAATTGGCGAGTCACGAGCCTCTGACACCGAGTTCAGCCTCTTGAGCTTTCACAGCTCACACAGCCTTTCACAGCTCAGTAGTGGCAGCAGCAGGAGGTGGTGGTCGACGTAGCCGTTTGTCCCCTTCGCGTGGTCTGAAGATGCATCGAAACGGGTTGGTGAGCTCGTTGAGAACTCGTTGCGTTTCGCGATCTTATCAATACGCGCGGGTACAATCCTGAGCTTTTGGTGAAAGTTCCGGATTCCCGGCCCGCCAAGATGTCAATGCGCACATAAAGCTGCGCAGGACTTGTTTGTTGTTCAGGACGTCGTGTCATCTCTTCAGAGCAGGGCATGTCCACGTGGAATCACGCCTTTGGGTGCGACCCATTCGTTTCGATCACTTCCGAAGAACCCGAACCCGAAGCTAGACCAGGGCAACGCCACTTCCGCACAGTGCCGGGGGGCCCGTTACCTTTGTTGACGAGTCGACCAATAGTCGTGAACTTGCCATTCCGCGGTTTGCATGTGCAGGTCTAAGAACGTTTAGCCACGTCACATCCCAAGCCAATTTTTGCAGCACAGAGCCCAAAGGCCAATCGCCGGCCGCACATGGTCAGCTTCTCAGCTGTCAGGTTCCGTCAGTCCTTGGTGAAACGAGTTGTAAGTAATCTTAACATCTGCAGGTACACGTTGTTCGCAGGGCTGCAAGGTATTGCTCTGTAGACCTTCGCCGTGCCAAGCATAGTCAGGAATATCCACACCCCGACTGTGCTCTTGAGAAGCTCCTGGATGAGTGGGTCGACCACCGACACTTCGAGGACCACGGCGACAGCCGGCTGGCGCAGCAAGTTGAAAGTGCTGGCATTGCAAAGTATGACTGGTCTCGCTGTTGATGATTGACACTTTCGCCCATAATTGTCCAACTTGCCGTTGCCTTTGCTTCACAACTACACTGTCAACTACATTCCAAAAGCACAGAACTCCCGGATCCAATCACAAGCTGCAGTCGTTTGGGAGCCTCCATGACCTTCTCCGCTGCCTCCCGACCTTCCTAGTGATTCTAGAGGCATATCACGAGCAAACTTGGAGGCTGAAACCATCGGCGTTTCATTGAGGCTTTGCAACACCAGCCAAGTTCTCTTCAGGCGGACAGTCCCTCACTTCCATCACTCTACCAGGCGGCACAGAGACATGTTTCAGAGCGGATGTAGCAAACGCGGGAGGAGATCGACTCCACCCAGAGTTTCATCGAGCGGGAGCACGAGAAGTTCCATCAGGAGCTTGCGGTTGAGGCTTGACAAATGGGGAGCTCGCGTTCTTCTGGCTCCCTCAGCCTCGAGGAGAAGCTCACGGCCGTGACTGCGGACTTCCAGACTGCAGGCCGTGGCACTGGCGGGCGGAGCTGGCATGCGACGAAGGTGCGCCCCACAGACATACCGTGGTGTTTGAGGCCTTGGCCTGTTTTTCAGCTTCACGGCATCCGCCACTGTCTGTCCCCTGCTTGATCTCAGTGTTGCACAGCTCCAACCTCCCAAAGACTCTTGGGGAGGCCCAAAGTGTGATGGCCTCGTTTTTCTTTCGCTTCCCTGCTGAGCAGACGGACGACGCCAGGAGCAACGTAGCAAGACCTTTTTGGTAATCAGCTTTTTGGACGGAATCCAGTTTGCACTATATCTGGCTCTGGGTTGCATCCGGGAGTCTCCAAGCACTAGGCAGCTGGCACGAGACGAGAGAAGTCCTAAGTCCTGCCGAAGCACGGTAACCAACACCCTGGAGTCAGGCCGCACCCCTCCGGAAACTAACAAAGCGCTGCATTCTAACTTCGTTTGGAAGGGCCCCCGCACACCTTGAGTTGCTAAAGTCTTCGCACCGGAACTCAGGACTTTGTCAACTCGAATGCCCCCAACGTGACCAAGGCGCGTAGGCTTTTGATGGCATTGTCTCTTTATCCTTGGACGAGTGTTGGCTCACAGAACATTCTGTCGGACAGGAACACTGTTCTGCTCCATGATCTTCACAACCTAGGTCTTGGCTGTGGCGGCCGTCGACACATTGCTTTGGGCCACAGATGGTGTGCACAAGTTTGGCATCAAGTGGCCCAACGATGTCGTCGTGGAAGGCCGCAGCAGTGACATCGAATGTCGTTTCACTTGTGAGGTTCCGTATTGAAGCTTTCGGTCGATGCTTCGGTATGCCCGCTACTCGGGATTTCGTTCTTCGTTCAGGGCTGATTCGACTCGGAGTTGCCGGAAGCATTAGGGCTTCAATAGCAACTTCACAAACAGGGTGTGAGGTGCACCGACGCGAATCGCCTTTTCGCAAGTCACAAGTCTCTGCTAGAGACCAATTTGCCGAAAAGCCTACACCCCCACTGCCTTGCCGCGAGTTCGCGATCTGCGGGGCTCTGGACATGCGTTTTAAATCAAAAAACCTGACGACGGATTTCGAGCCTTCGAACAGCTCGGAACAACTCAGGGCAACCAACAAACTTCGCCCGCTGGCAGACCCGACAAATGGCACACACGGAGTAAGCCTTCGCACTCGGAACCGGGGGCCTCGGACCTCGGCAGCCCTTGGCCCCGAATCGCTCCGGGCGACCCTCGCATTGCCACCCACACTCTCTTCCGTCGAGTATCGGAGGTAGGGTGCGCAGGGTCCTGCCGCCCTTGCTTCGATTCGTTGTGCTCGTGTTTGCTGACACAGCAATGTCAAAGTTGCAAAGCTCTCAAACTTGCATACTGCACAGTCCAGTGGGAGGGAGTGGTGGGAGTAGGAGTGGAGGGCGACCGGGTCGAAATACAAGCAAACCGGGCGAAATGCAACCACACGGTGGAAAACACAACTGAACCACTGTTGTAGGCTAGCCCTAGCGGGAGAAATTGCAACTGGCTATTGCGATGCCGCTGTAAGTTTGGACATTCTCTGCAGAAATCCATGGTCCAGCCTTAAGGTTCCAGCATCAAAGCTAGGTAACGGTCGTGATGCGTCCCTTCTCTCTGCGCCCTAGCACGAATGAGGACTTAACATGATTTGTTCCGTATGCTTTCGATCATGTAGGTACGAAAACATGTAGGCAGTACTTAACATGATTAGTTCTGATTGTATGATTTCGGTCATATAGGAACGAAACTCATGTAGGCAATGATTAACTTGCTTTATTCGGTTGTTATGCCTTCGGTCATGTAGGCACGAAGGGTATGTAGGCAATACTCAACATGTTTTTTGTGTTTGTATGCTTTCGGTCATGTAAGTACGAACGGCATGTAGGCAATGCTTGTATGCTTCCGGTCATGTAGGTACGAACGGCATGTAGGCACTGCTTAACATGATTATTTATGTTTGTATGCTTTCGGTCATGTAGGTACGAACGGCATGTAGGCAATACTTAACATGGTTTTTCGGTTTGTATGCTTTCTGTCATGCAGGTACGAAAAGCATGTAGGCAATGCTTAACATGATTATTTCGTTTTGTACGCTTTCGGTCATGTAGGTACGAACGCCATGTAGGCAATGCTTCACATGATTATTTCGTTTTGTATGCTTTCGGTCATGTAGGTACAAACGCCATGTAGGCAATACTTAACATGCCCCTCATATGTTTTGCCGACTTCGACGAAGCTTTGTTGGACCAAAGCGGATGCGAGACCTATAAGCTCTCGTGTCAGGGAAACTCCAGTAGCCTCCTGGCTCTCCTTACGAGGTTCCTCTCCGAGCCTCCTTCTTTCGCTGACTGTCTCCCCTGTCCCGAAGTCCAGTCGGTCAATCTCTCATCGTTCCTCCTTGGGGTCAGTGTTGGGGTCGTGCTTTTGCCTGTACTTGAATTCGTCTGGTTGTTGCGAGCGGCCGTGTTCAGGCGCTTCATTGATTCCTCATACTTTCGATTGCTATAGGGCGGCGCCATAGTCCCATGCCTGTGCTGCCTGACGGCCCCGCCTCTACGCCATAAGGAGGAGCCGCTAGGTTAGGAGGGTGCGGCTAGGTCCTGGGAGGTTGCCCAGAACAGAGAGAGAAATACTGCGTGCCGCGAAATCGACCTGTGGCTCCTGCGAAGCTTTGCGGGAGAATAGGGGAACTTCAGGTCGCGATAGATTGCCACAGGGCTTCCGCTTCTGGTTGGTCGCCCGTGACTTTGAGGACAACGCCAGGCCAAATCCGTTACGAAACGGGGTTCTGATCTGGGTGCTTCTGTGTTGGTTGGTCTGCCTACCCGGGCCGACCTGGACGCCGTGCTGGCCGCTACAGAGTGGGCTGCACCTGTGTTCTACTGATGGATACGGAGGCGGAGCCTGCAGTCGCACTCGAGGAGGAGCAAGCACAGGATCACGGCACTCTGCGAGACTACTTGCTTATGGGACCGGATGGCGTCCATCTGGAATATGTGACAGGCTTACTCCCCTTCCCAACGGCGGAGGCACACAGACGTGTGAGCTGATAGGGTTGGCCGGGATAGCAGGCAAATGCCTTGTGGCGGTGCCGGGGGCGGTTTGGCACAAGGACGGCCCTGACCAAGGTGACTGCGGTGGAGGTAGCAGCTTCAATAACGGGCGCGCGCGCGCCGCGGCCCTTGCTGCTACGAACCTGCGAGTGTGTGTCGGCTTCTTGAATCCGAGGATGGAGGAGCGGGTGGATTTCCTGGCCAGCGGCACCGACTATCCTTTCGGGGGTAATTCAGTTGCCTACCAGTCCGCCGAGTCCGCATTCGGAGCGATTGAGCCCACGGCGCGCATCAGGGACAGGCTCACTACCTTGGCTCGCTACCCTCGAGGATGCCATGAGCAAGATCGTTTCAGGGTTCAAGGTCATGATGGAAATTCAAGCAGCGGAAGCGCCTGCCGCAGCACAGGCACGGCCGTTGCTGCAGGCGAAGCCGAAGGCCAAGCAGGCTGCTCCGTGCGATGTATGCGAGGAAGCCGTCTTTGCAAACCTGGATCCGGGAGTGGCGCGAGCGGCCCAAGATGCAGGACCGCCTGGTCGGGGGCGCCCCACGCACGCCTGGCTTAGCAAAGAGAGGGGCCGCGGTGGGCTGGGCATGTCCGAAGCGAACAGGGCTGTCCAGAACCAAGACGGCACTGACAGAGAACGCAAAGCTGATGGCCGAAGATCTGCTGGGGATGGCCCAGCCGGGCGTGCCGGCGCTGACTTCTGCCCGCGCGTGGGTGGATCGGCACTTTAGCGAGGACGACGTGGGCCCTGTGTGGGCCTCCGGTACCGCCTGGTCCGGCTCCAGGGAGCCCGGCCCCCGCCGGTCCGCCGTGGTGCCGGCTGGTGGTCCTGGTCCAGGGTCCGGGGCCCGCCACCTGGGCCCCGGACCCCTCGCTCAGCTCCATACACCAGGGCCCGCTACGAGGAGACTGAACGGAAGCTCGCTTGAGTATCCTCCTTCGATCTGATGCTGGACCAAGTGGGAGTGGACGGAGGAGGATGGACCCTCGCGAGCGAATTTTCCTTCGAGCCGAGCATTCCGATGCGCAGCTTTCGTCTTCACGACAATAGCCGACAACAACAGGGACCGCGATCAAGTGCACAGCCGCCTCTTAGACAGCCGGTGGGCCGAGCTCGCTCTGGGGCATCTTCGCGAGCAGATGGACTTTGCCGAGAAGAGAGAGAAGCTGGGAAGGTCGAAGACGCAAGGTGCCGCCGCGGATCCAGATGACTCGCCCTCGCCCCGAACCGAAAGGTGCAGCCAAAAAAGTGAAGTTTACGATCCGCGGCCGCCCCGGTCCTGCCAGCGGAACCTGCAAAGCCGGAGCAGCCGATGCCGGGCGCTCGCGCTCCACAGTTTTCCTTGCCTGGATTTTGGCTGGCACAGCCTTCCTTCTGTGCTCAAACATCGGGGCACTTTTTGCAGTTTCTTCAGCACTCTGCTTTCTGCCGACAACACACCGGCGCACACGTCATCAGCCTGGCCCCTGCCGTTGCCTTTCCCTGGGGTTTTAAACCACTGCCGGGAGTAAAACCTCACTGGCGCCATAAGCGGATCACCGTAATTGTTGCTTTGCTTGATTGGCTGCATATAGGCTGCCCTTGTAAGTCCCCTTCTGGGATTGGCTTCGGTGTTCCCCTTTCGGCCAGACAGCGCCGAGTGGTGCGGACTTTGGAGCGCCTCGCAGATGATAGCGCTACGTTTTTGAAGCTCGACACCGAGCTGCAAAAGCAGGGGATCCAACGGCCGCAGCCGCGGTTTGACTTCGGCCGCGTAGTGAGCAAGATGCCTCCGCATGACAACTGCACTGCAAAGCCGATACGGGCTGATCGGCTGACGTTCTCCCCAGCTCCTTCACTCTGCCCTCGGGGCTTCCTCGAACCGCCGGCATACTGGTCATCGTCTCTGGCCTCGGCCAGCATTCTGCTGCCCATGG